AAAAACGTTTGAAACAAAGATCCAGTTGGCTTTATTCTCGATAAAGTGAAACTCAAAGCTTTACTCTGGCAATCTCGAGTTTCTTTTTTCCTCTGCAAGAAACGCGGGGATAGTTTCGATCGTCTCGAAAACTGTAAAAATCACTGGCGAATTTTTTTCGTAGCTGAATCTACCATAATCTCGACCCTTTGAAGTTTTTATTAAATGAAAGCAAGCCAAGAAATCCCAACGTTTTGTCATCTAACGAGTGTTTAATGTTCAATGAAATGGCAAGAAGAGAAAACAGCAAGTTTCTGGAGTATTAACGTTATAAAGGGGAGATTTTTGTTCCTTAAGATCGTAGTTTTAGTCATGAGAAAGGTTTTCTAACAACATTTGAATTTTCGAGAACAAAAGTAGTCTTGTGATTTATAAATATCTTTGAAAGATGATAATACAGGGCTAAATGGAAGCTCGATACCTAAATATCAACTTCATTGTTACACCTTCTTTTTCGTAAGGTAGGCGTAAATTAAATATAGACAATATTCCATCAATAATTTCGTCCACAGTTTTCACATCTTCTCTTCTGTTTCATCACTTGATGATGTTTATTTTACCATTTATACTAGTTAACGATTTTCATTATATCATTTATACCATTTAACGATATTTATTACTCTTATTTATTCTTATTATGTCATTTATACCATTTATATGATTTTTAACTCTAATAACAACAATAATATTTTCTGATTTCCACAACAATCGTTAAATATAATTAAAATATCAATTATTACGATTGTTCGTTCGTTAACAGACACGTAAATTTGCTTCAAGTCGCGTCTATTCCATCCTGTCTTTGCATAAAAGTCCCCTGACGATTTTTAAAGATCACTTTCGAGTTAACTAGCTACGAGCCACGTGCATTGATTTCACGACAAATGTCGCTCGAGTTCAACCACCCACGGCAACCTGTTACTGCGTTACGGAGATTCGTAGTTAGCGTGCTATATGTTGGCCATCTGGCATTATTTTCTCATGGACGAATGCCACCGGAGACGAGTCATTTAAATGCACACCACCTCGATCATCCGTCTCGTTTAAATGCCGCATATGCTATTTGTTTCACATGAGATTAGCCGCGCGATGGCAGCCACCCTTTCTTGCCCACGGGATAATTATCTGCACGCCCTCCCTTTCTGTCCGATTAACGTTGCGTGAGTGAGAATCGTACGTGTGTTTGAGATGATATATACGTGAAAAATTTCAGGACACGTATCCATCGAGATTTTCTGCAAGGATGCTCGTTCTCAAAATAGCAATATTGCCGCGTTTGCGACGAACAATGATGTAGTACAGCGACGGCGAACTACTTTTCGAGAAGTAGGTCAAATTTTCTTCATTATTTTTTTCAGTACTAGCTCGTGGATCACTAAGTCAGTGGAGGATGATTAAAAACTATTTTCTTTTGGTCCTCACATTTATAATCCTCGGAAAAGTTTCCTTTTTGTTTTACAACTTTTACTTTTGCAAGTGAAGAGCAAAAAATAAATGTCGACGTCGAAAAATTGACATAAAAGGGGTGACATCGTTCCCAGTCATCCCTGCACTATACCATTAGACGTACAGTGAGCAACGAAAGTATTCGAACGACACGAAAACAATTCACTGCACAAAAATTGTATAATAAATTGCAATTTATTGAAACAAATTGTTTTTATACTATTGTATACACATTTGCTAAATATATGCAAAGTTAGAGAAAAATTAAACCATAAGTAAACAAATTACACAACATTTTTCACGGATAAGTACATATGAGGCGTAACAAAAATATTCGAACGCAATTTTAATAGATATTTCATGATAGAATGCAATATATGTGATTATATTGCATTTTAATATCTAGTTGGGCCACTCTTGGCCTTAATAACCTCTCGAAGATGATTTTCTATAATATCGACTAACTTTCTGGTAACACTTGAATCCATAGAGTGCCACGCTGCTAGGATGTTTTGTTTTAAAGAATCTTTACTCGTTATATTATTTCTTTTAAGTCTCCTATCGAGTTCTTCCCATAAATGTTCGATGGGATTCAAGTCAGGGCTTTGTGGTGAATAATGTATGGGGTACATTATCTAAGATCCATTTTTGTACTATTTTGGCCGTATGTTTAGGGTCCTGTTGGATGTAAAAATTTCTTGGCACATTCAATTTTTTGGCACTATTGATTAAATTTATGAAATATTTAAATATTTAGCTTTGTCCATGATTCTATCGATAAATATGAGATTTCCAGGCCCATTGGCAGACCCGTACCATTACGCACCATGTTTCACTGTAGACTTCAAATTTTTTGAATCCAACTCCTTATCGGACCCAAATTTTTAAATTGAATTTACTTTCATCCGAAGAAATAACAGTGTTCCAAAAATTTACCTCCTTCATTATATATTCTCTGGCAAATTTTAAACGAAGTTATTCTTCTTGCTAATGTATGGTTTCTCTCGTGGGACTCTACCCATGGAAATTGTTTTTCCATAACATTCTTCGACATAATTGGGCGTGTACTTCTTTATTAATGTTTGTTGCCAATTTTAGAGCAGATGTAAATGGATCGTTCTTTATTTCACGCAGAAGCAATTTTTTTTGGACGCCCAGATCTTTGTTCATTTGCAATATTTCCGTTCGTATCATACTTTTTTTTGTTATATAACGAATTGTTGATTTGCTTCTGCTTACAAGAGAAGCAATTTCTTCTATATGATTTACCTTCTTTGTGCAATTTAACAATAATTTCTCGTTCGGGTTTACTTGTCTCTGATGTTTTATCACTCATTATTTTGAATTACAGGTGAACGTTTAACATTCGGTTCCGTTTGCTCTCAAATACTGTTGGAAATAGACTGAAGATCTTTTGTTTACATTTAAACCTCGCGACAGTTTTGTGTTTAGAATGTACAGTGTTTATAATTCAGCGTAAATTCGAATACTTTTGTTACGCTTTATATGTACTTACCCGTGAAAAATGTTATGTAATTTGTTTAATTATTGTTTAATTTTTCTCTAACTTTGCATATATTTAGCAAATGTATACACATTTGTTTCAATAAATTGCAATTTATTATACAATTTTTGTATAATCAATTATTTTCTATCATTCCGTTCGAATACTTTCGTTGCTCACTGTATACACTTTATTTCTTAATATTTTTTATTCTCTGTTCTCTGTTTTATTATATAAAAAACTAGCAAAGCTATCCATTCTGAGAATGGGATCTAGTGTGTTCTTTAATGTTTTATTACATCTGTTTAATCGTAAGCGCTGTATAAAATTTTTTGGACACAACTAACCCATATAACACTTAAAACTTAAAATACCCATATGTATACATAACCAAGTCGTAAACCCTCCATGAAACACAATTATGCATTTGTTTCTCACTTTTAAGCTCTAACCGAACACTCGTAATTTTCTTCACACTTTTTGAAACGAGGAGTTCGAAAAGTAATTAAAATTCTTTTATATATATATATATATATATATATATATATATATATATATCATATATATATATATGATGATAAGTTTATAAAAATCAACGCATGGGTCATTTAAAAAGCCTGCGTGGGTCAGTGTCTGACACGCGTGTCATAGGTTCGCCATCATTGATATAGTACATAAGTCACGTAGATCAAACAGCAATCGCAGATAAAACATTCGCATTGTTTCATCAGTTATTCCAAGTCTTTTTAAAACATGATTATCCTGCAACGTGTTAGGAGGAACCAAAGCTCTTTAGTTAAAAATAAATATAAAATAAATTATAATTAAATATAAAATAATTAATTATAATTATAATTAAATATAAAATAAATTATTATTAAATATAAAATATGATGTGCGAACGACTTGACTCACTTGAAGAAAAGGAGACTGTCTTTAAATTTGGCTTGAATGAGATAGCTATTACTGAACCTAACAGAGGAAATTGATTTCTCAGGGTCTTCCAGGTAGTTGCAATTCAGGTACAGCCCTTTGTAGTAATTATTCGTAGAGGTTAAAGTGAAGCCGTTTAATTTTGACTGCAATTACGGGAACTAATGAGTATCGTAAACGGGCCCTCTGTTGTATGCGTTAACAAACACGCCAGTTAAAATTTTCCTCCTCGGATAAAAGGAGTGAGAAAGATATTGTCCAGCGTCAGAAGAACGCCAGCCTCAGAAATTTGGAAGTGTTTGTAGATTTGAAAAAGGATGAGAGAGATTTAGCTTTTCTCTGTGAAGGTGGCCAGAATGCTGGATGCATCGCTGCAAGTGGAAGTGCACGAGGTAATCTCTACGACTTTTTAGACACGAGTCTAACGAAAGTTGTTTGAACTGAAAAGCGTTTTTCTTAAGTGAAGTAAATTAGACAGGAAAATCAGATAGTTATTTCGACCTGTAAATATCGACGTTGACATATAAATTCTCTATTGACATTGAATTGAATCGTATTTATCAGAAATTCCACTCTGTTTACTCTGTTATTAAATCACGAGAGATAACAAATATCGGGATATTTGTAGAATATTCATTAGATTGCGAATTTTTAAGATGCATTTGTAGGAAACTTCAAAGTGCAAGTTTACGTGGAAATGCATATTACGTTCGATACGTAAAAGGGTTATATTTTTTTCTTAGCTACATATTTACACTTTCAGAAATATACATTTGCATAGAAAAACTCGCAGTCCGCTCATCAGCAATATTGAAAAATTATGTTTCTCTTATCGATAGTGTCAGTTGCCAGGTTCTGGCGAAAGTTCGAAATTTTCGCACGGAAGCACGAAATTTTCCTACGATTCAAATCCTAACCTAACCTAACAAACGACTACCTCCACATTGAGAATACATTCACTCACAGGAAGAAAGAAGAAAGGGACTCACTGCACTGGCATACATCTCTCGTGTCAGTTCACTTTATTTCTCTCTTCGTCAAATATCGCGAGAAACGCGAAACAAACCAGGAGACTTACTTGACGATGCCGGCATCTTCGGTTGAGCCGCGGACATGTGCGCGATCTGTGGTTCCTGATTCTCCATCTTGATCGTATATGTCACAGCTGATGGAAATAGGCGAGGATTTAGCCTCAGTCAACAGTCCATTCAACAGGAACGAAGACGCGAAACAGATAAACAGACACTTTCGATCGTACGACAGGCGATCGTTCGCAACTGACAACGAGAATAAACATGTGACACGAGATACTTCTGGAGAACCGGAGAAGCTCACACTTCCAGCCCTCGAGGCAAAGGGCTAACTCAGCGACGAAACATGACTGACAGTCATCGTGGCCAGGACTTTTTGATAGTGAGCACGGGGATACCTGACTGACTTCAAACAAACGGTGGAACGCTTCGTCGGGGACGAATCATTGGCCAGCAGTTTCCCTACCCTGTGGAAAAGGGCGGTCCTTCAGGAAGGAGCTGGTTCCTCCCTGGCTCGCTAGGGGGTTGAACGTCAGCTCTAGCTAAAAAAGGGAGAGGTGGCGAACGAACGAGGCACGTCACATGTCTCCCACCCTTCTCGCCACCCTTTTTGTACGATGTTATTCAACCGGCCGCGAGGTGAAAACGAAGCCACTTCCATCCCTTTCGGCCGGCGTGGACCGCTTGCCGAAGCGATCGCCAAAAGCAGTCATCCCCCACCGCGTCAACCGAGCTAATTTCACGCCGGATTTCTACAGACGTTGCAGACAATCGGCGGTGGATTTCAACGACTCTTCCAAAATGAGATTTGGCCGTTCGCAAACGACCAGTTTAATTTTTCATGGATTTTTCACGAGAATTTTCTAAATTTCGATCGACCGATTGATCTTTCTTTCGCGTTGCCTAAATCTTGAGCCTAGCCCACTTGCGCTGGCAACCGACTGCGGACCATAACGAGTGACCAACGAGTTCGGCACCAGCTGTCAGTGAGAATATTAGAAGTAACGATATTGTTAGTATTAAGTATATTGGAGGATGTAATCTTCTGTGCGTTTTCTGACAAACTTCGTACGACATTTTTTTTTCTTCTTTTCATCTGCAAATTAAATCCTCGCTGTTCGGCCGTTTAAGTTTGGGACAGTCTGTATGTAATATATCAAACAGATAATGCCTAATGTACTGTTTTACGCTTCTTAGGGCTTTTACAGGGTGTTTTTTAACTTGTGTGGGACCCACTTCTGATTGTACGGCTAAAAATAATGAAAAAAAGTTATATGTACTATCTGTCTTCGTTTATGAGATGTAATGAATTTTCTGTTTGAATTACTTTTACAAAAGATGCTCGAGATGACCACCTTGCATTTGAAGACAAGCATGCACGCGTCTTGTCATTCATCTGGTTACTATCATTCCTGGTGTTTCTCGAATTTATCGGAAGCCTTGCTCTATTTTATTTCGTAGTTTTTCAGCATTTTCAATCGATGTTGCGTGTACAATAGATTTTAAATGTCCCCACAAATGAAAATCTAATGGATTCAAATCCGGAGAACGAGCAGGCCATGCAA